CCCGGCGCCCCCGCCGTCCCTGCCCGCGCCTCCTGTTAAGCCGTGCGCGGTCGCGGACCCGGGCGCCCTCCCCGGCTCTCATCCGGGCCCTTTTGATCGGGTCAGGTCCGGGCGTGAAGAAAGTTCCCCGCGGCCTCCGGCTCGGCGGGGAGATCCGGCCGCTTCCCGCCCTCACCACCCGGTCCTTCGCAAGGGTTCCCCGCGCCGGTTACTGCGGGCAGCGCACGTGCGCGAGCGGCTAGACCCGGGAGGCCGGGCAGGAGCGGGATGGACGCGGCTGCCAGCAGCAGGGAGCTGGTCAGCCCGAGTTCGGGAATTTACGGGGGCTGGCAAACTCGGCGTGAGATTGCCAGGCCCTGCGGCTTTCCCTAACAAATGCAAGTTTGTCCTGGATCAGATATGTAAATGCATCTTTAAACTTTTGCCTACTTTCGAAGTCACTGAGTGGAAAAAGTGGAAAAAAATTGCAAATCTGTTTTTAAAATTTAGGAGATTAAGAACTAACTCACAGTAAACCGGGACGTAGTGGCGCACGCCTTTAATCCCAGCACTGGGGGGAGCAGAGGCAGCCTGGTCTATTGAGCTAGTTCCAGGACAGCCTGGGCAGTTACATAGGGTACCCTGTCTCAAAAACAAACTCACTGTAAAACTTTGAGGTCGGGAAGTAGCATCTTGTAAAAATCCTGTATGCCTGCATTTTAAAAGAAAACAGGCACAAGGTAGCCCCCTTGGGAAGCAGATGCTGATTTGAATTCCAAATCTTTACCATTTCATGTTTATTTACACAGATTTAAGTCTGAAAAACACTGATCACTGTGTTGTTCCATTGCTTAGAAACCACTGACTCCCCTGTGCTCACCATTCACAGACCCCTGTCCCTTCAGTCTTAGATACCTGTGCTAGACCTGTTTATTTCCTGTCCGTACTTTAAATAACTAAGGCAAATCCCAGCTACAGTGGGAACTCCAGGCTTCCTGAGGTTTGGTTTTAGACAGGCTGTCAAACTGGCTACTAGCATAACTAAGGGTATGGCCTTCTGTCTCTGCCTCCCAAGAGTTGAGATTATAGGTGTGCCACTGGTTTATTTAGTCCCCAGTTGTGTCACTAGGGGTGTTGAAGCCTCCCTGTGTGCTGCAATGATGTATATGGTGGTAATGGACTAGCCCTAAAATGGTAAGCTGCTATTAGATTGTTTCTTGGAGTTGCCTGGGACATGTGTCTCTTCACAGCAGTAGATTAAGATAGCCAGCAAGGCCAAGGATGAGCTTCCAGGTCTAGCGGGAATACAGGAAAGGACAAACTGCTCTGCTGGGCCCAGACAGACTCTAGCTTTTTTGCTTTGGACTGCTAAGTGCTTCTAGTTCTGCCTTCCCAAATGATTATCCAGCCCTTTAAAGCTGTCTTCATTGTCCACACAGCCTTCCCAGTTATCCACACTTGTATACATTGTAAAATACTGAGAAGATATGAATAGAAGACAGAACAGTAATCCTACCCTGTGTGTTTCATATACTGCTTTTTATTTTTATTCTCATAGGAAGGGTTCCTTCTGGGTGAAATAAAAGGTGAAGCCAAGAATAGCATTACTGATTCACAAATGGATAATGTTAAAGTTGTTTATACAATTGGTAAGTCACTTAGTTCTGTATGGTATTTGATAGTTTATGTGCTGAATGTAATCAGCATAAATGTCACTATTTTATTTTGTAACATTTTAATTGTGGGGGATATACATGTGTCATGCATAACTGCTGGAGTCCTTTCTCTCCTTCTATCACGTGGTTCCCAAGGATTGAACCGAGTTGGGCAAGCTTGTCAGCAAGTTCCTTTCCCTGCTGAGCCATCTTGCCTCTGTGTGTGTGTGTGTGTGTGTGTGTGTGTGTGTGTGTGTGTGTGTTTTAACTGTTAAAATATATACTCTAAATGTTTTTTAAAGAACTGAAAAAAAATGGGTATAGTGATACACACTTGTAATCCCTGCACTTAGAAGGTGGAGGCAGGAGAATCAGAAGTTGGGTCCTATATATTTGTCTTTGGCTAGTGAATATAACATGTGGTTTCAAGTGGGACTCCAGGTAGGATTTGTAGTTCTGTGTCTCTGGGGAGTCACACGAGTCCTCTTTGCCCATTCACCTTTGAAGAAGTAAGAGTAGTTTGTCTTAGGGGTATCTGAAGAGTAAATGAAGTACTCTGCACATAGTGAAGTCCCTGGTGTGAGGTGAACGTGCCTCAGTGTGGTGGACAATCACTGCACTCATAACCTGAGATCTTTTTTTTCTAGACATTCAGAAATATATTCCATGTTACCGGCTTTTTAGGTGAGTAACAATATTAGTAAAAACAAGTAAATTACCCATGAGAATTATTCTTTGCAAGCTAAATAATTTAAAAACTAACAGTGTCTTAGTTACCAGTCATACATGGAAGGAGGGTTGCTGTTGTTTGTTTTAAGGTACATTAGTGCATGTCCACCCCATCTATAATTCTTCATTAGTTGTATTACCTTTAGCTGGTTTCCACTGCCTCTGAAAAACCAGTTTACTTCGGAGGATTGCATTTTTTTTCTCACACCCAGTCCTCTTATTTGGTATTATAAACTCACCACTGACATGTTCTCATATGTCAATAACAGTCCTCTTTTCCATCTTTTGATTCCAGTTTTAATTGTTTCTCTTTTTGTTACCCAGTTACATTCTTTGTCTAACCTGTTTGCTGTTGCATTTCTCTAGTGAAAGTTTACCCCTCAGTTTGACAGATAGTAGCAGAACTGCTGTTGCTAATATACTGTGTTTTACTACTGTCTTAATGAGATTGCCTTCATAGAAAACACAAAAATACATTTTTAAAGTTTCATTTATGGTTTGTATCAGCCACACAAGAAAGATAATCACTATCTTACATTGTCACACTCTTTGTATACATCTTTAAGACTGTATGCATTACAGGGGCATATGTGGTAAAGAAAGGTCATGGTGGGGAGAGGGTGTGACATAGCAGCTTGGCGTCTTATCTGATGCACCAGGGAAAGTTAGTTTTCCTGCAGTCCTTTAACGTACAGTGGATACAAAAACTATTCGTTAAATGAGGAATTCTTAGTGGAACCTCATAAAAATGACTGAAGGGCCTTCTGGACCAGCAAAGGATTAAGAGACAATAACAAGTGACCACAATAAGAATTAGGCCAATTTAGTAGTGTGTCTGTGCTGCAGAGACCACCTGAGCCACTAATGTCCGGGCCTTGTCAGCTCTTAAGTTGAAGGTAAAGAGGACATGAGTAGAGCTATCTGGAAATACTTCTCATTCATAAAGTCACTATACCCTTCATCTTCAGTTAAAACCAGAATAGGCCAAAGCTTATGATTTAATGAAAAATACAGAACTACTTAATGCAGTGGTTCTCAACACCTAACACCATCAGAAAATACAGGTATTTATTTACATTACGATTCATAATAGTAGTAAGATTCAGTTATGAAATAGCAACAAAAATAATTTTATGGTTGGGAGTTATTGTTGTAATTTAAAAGAAAAGTGGCACATGAGAGAAAGATGCCCTGTGAATGTGACAGGGTTCAAGCAAAGGGGTTTTTTTTAGGGAAAAGGGATACCATTCTCCGGAGACAGGAGCAGTAAGAGAGAGTAGACAGGGAAGAGGTGGAGAGAGAGGAGGATGGGAGGTGGGCAGGGCCCTTTTAAAGGGAGCATAGTGAATGTGCACAGGTGGTGCTCTTAGTGGCTGCAGCTGATGGTGTATCCTGTCAGAACCCGAAGGACAGGCTAGTACCGATGCCTGAATACTAACAGTTACACTGTATTAAAGGATCACAGCATTAGGAAGGTGAGAACCACTGACTTTATGGTAGGAAAAAACTAGACGAAATGGCATTTCTTTTCAATGGTTTGTGTGTGTAGCATTGGGGAGCAAGTTTCTGCTAAGCTGCAACCCCAGGCTCTAAGCTTTCTAACAACCTGTCATGTTGCTGCTTCCCTCTTATAACTCATATAGGTGAATATATTTAAAATGAAGTCTTCTGATGACATCTCTCGAAGTCCAAGTTAGACAAGCATTAATACCCAGTTTTATAATTTACTACAAAGGTCATCAAAATAGAACCCCATGAGCTGTTTTCATGCAGCCTTTTTTTTTAAAAAAAAAAAAATAATTTATTTAATCTTTTTATGTGCATTGGGGTGAAGATATCAGATCCTCTGGAACTAGAGTAATAGACAGTTGTAAGCTGCCATGTGGGTGCTGGGAATTGAACCCGGGTCCTCTGGAAGAACAGTGCTCTTAACCACTGAGCCATCTCTCCAGCCCCCATGCAGCCCTTTATGTGAACATGTTTACTATATGTTTAAGGGATATGGGGAGAGTAAGAGGAAGAATATACAATAGGAAGCAGATGGGGTGGAAGGCTTGAAATATTTTGACTGGCAGTTTATATATAAACTGTACCAGCTCTGCACTGACTATATTGCTTCTCAGACTTTGCAACTGAATACACTAATTCTTTGCTCCTCTCATTAGTCTACAAGTTCCACGAAACCTAAAACTTAGTAACTAAAAATCAGGCACTTAGGTGTGAAATCTTTACTGTATATCCTTTTAGGGAGTTGGGATACAACACAGGCTGGCCTAAAACTCCAGATTGTCCTGTCTCAGCCTTTCAAGTGTTGGATTATAGGCATGTGCCACCACACCTGGTTTACTATTAGCCTGTGCTTACACACCCTGAGGTACTTACTGCCTTAGGCACCAGGTTGAGATGCTTAGAAGTGGGCCATACTAGAGAAATACAGCAATAAAAAAATATTTCTTCCTTTTTCTCTTCTCTCTCCTCTTCTTCTGCCCTGTCCCCGACTCCTTCTCTGGGGATTGATCCCAGGAACTGGGCATCGGTTTCTGGACCTGCCATGATTTCAGTCTTTATCCAAGTCACTTTATCCAAGTCATAGCAGATGTCCTTCAGTGAACTGAGCTACTGTCCCTCAGCCCATTAAAACATTTTTAATGGAGGTTAGTTATTGTTATTTCTTTGTGGTACTGGAGATTGAACCAAGGGCTTTACTCCTGCCAGGTTAACCTGTAATCACAGTTGTTTGAGACATTGTCTTACTAAGTTGCTGGCCTTAGACTCACTCTTGTTGCTTAGGCAGAAATGGACATCCTTTTGCATTAACCTGCTGAGTAGTTGGGTTTATAGGCCTGTACCTCCAAGCTCAGCTTAAAAATGTTGCCAATTAGAATATAGTTGGTCCAGTTTTCTGTAAATAAATATTTCCAGCATATACTTGAGGATTTCCAGTTTAAAATAAACCCTGTGAAATACTACAGGATTTTGTTTAGCATTCAGCATTATAAAAGGGAATATTGTTCATCTTAGTGCTAAAAGAAGGAAGGACTAGGACTGAGGAGACAGCTCCAGTGTTAAACTACCTACCACACAAGAATGAAGACCTGGGTTTGGATCCCCAGTAACCATGTAAAAGCTCCATGCATCTATAACCCTAGTGGCGGGGAGTGGGACAGGGAGGGGACAGGAAGATCCCTAGACCTCATTGGCCACCAACTAGCCAGATCTATGAACTCCAGGTTCAGAGAGAGACCTTGTCAAGAATTAGGGGGGAGAGTGATCAAGGAAAACAGCTTTTATGAACTTGTACACCTGGATTAAGTTATCCTTTTGTTACTGATCTTTGTCACTCATTGTATATTCTATCAGGGATTATTAGTTATTAATAAGTGAACTGTGAACTGGCTGTATGAACTTTCTGATACTTGTATTTAATGAGTAGTTTACCGTTTTAGTTTAAAAGTATAATAAAACTCATACCTAGAAGTTTTTGTATTGTATGTTGTTTTTGGTTATGGACCTAAAGTTTCTACTATGTAAGTATTACTTTTTAAAATTTTCTCTACTCTTTATTTTAGGAGTTCATAACATAGGCAAATAGATATGCATTTTGATTGTATAGTATGGGTTAGGAGTAACTAAAATTTAAAATGCTAATAAAATTATTCAAATTTCTTGCTTACTTGAAATCTCTTTAATTTTGATTTCTTATAGCTTTTATAATTCTTCAGGTGAAGTAAACGAACATGCACTGAAGAAAATTCTTTCAAATGCCAAAAAGGTATTACCTTTTCTTTGTTGGTACTGTTTGCACTATTTTGTGATATTAAAAACATAGTACTTTTACAGAAGCCTTAAATGGTATTAGTCGTATTCATTAGAGCATGTAAGAAGACATATTCTTCCCAAATTTTAGGCAGTTTCTCTAAAACCAAAACTAGTCATTGAAAGTATCCATCTTGGGGCTGGAGAGAAGGCTCAGTGGCTAAGAGCACTGGCTGCTCTTCCAGAGGACTTGGATTCAGTTCCCAGCACCACGTGGCAGCTCACAGCCAGAAGTAAATCCAGTCCCAGGAGGTAGGCTCTCTTCTTCTGTCCTGTGTGAACACATGAATGCACATAGTACCCAGATATACAAGCTGGCAGAACACTCATGCATATAAAATAAAATGAAAAAAAGGTATCCATCTTACTATTTCCTTGACTACTATGATTTATACTGACTTCTCTGTGGTTTATTGCTTAACCATAGCCATTTACAGTCTGATTTATTCTAGAACATAATGCGTTTCTGTTATTTTCACATAGCTGTACTTTGTTTTGTCTTCTGGTCTCACACTACAATATTAAGTGGCTAGGACTTCAGGTACATATCTCAGAGCCTGGCTTTGCAGTTACTATTTTATATAAATGCAGAGAGAGCTTCCTATACAGCAATTACATCCTCCATGAACTTAATATTCAGATAAAAGTTATTGAAAAGTCAGAATGCCTGCACGCCCACCCCCTTTTCTGAGTTAGGCATTTTTGTCTTTAAAATTTTATGTGTCTGAGAATAAAAGATTTTATGGAAAGTTTTGGTCACTAGGGATGATTACACGTCTCTGATTTCAGAATGAAAGTAGATTTCATACTAGAAGTTTCTTTTAGATGCTGAGTGTATACATGTTTATCCTAAGTATGTGGGAAGATGAGAGGATTTCAAGTTTGAGACCCACCTAGGCAATCCAGTGAGATCCTGACACAGGCTGTGGATATAGCCCTAGGATTTCCTGCCTCAAATAAGGTCCGGGGTTCAAAATTCCTTAGCACTAAAGCACAAGGCCTGACAACGTGAGATCAGTCTGTGGAAACCATATGGTGGAGGGAGAGAACAGTATGCTGTCCTCTGACCTCCCCATGGATAGAGCACCTAATGTACATACGTACATACATACATTTGTGCATGCACATACAAATACATAAGTAGGTGTAAAAATGTTTTAAAAGGAAATGGTTGGACTTAAAAAATTATATTTGGAGCCAGCAAGATGGCTTAGTGGGAAGAGGCACCTGCTGCTAACCTGGATGACCTGAGTTCAATCCGTTAGAGTCACATGATAGAAAGAGGGAGAGAACTTAACACTCCCAAATTGTCCTCTGACCACCATACACCCCTCAACCCCCCACCCCCACACACACCCCTGCCATACACACACAGAGACAGTAAATGCAGTCCATTTCTTAATTTGATTATTAGGAAGTATACCTATAAGAACATTTTCTTTTGAAAAGACTTTTGTTTTTGAGACATAGCCTCACTGTGTAGCCCACTGTCTTTGAACTTGTTATCCTCCTCAGCCTTCCAAATGCTGAGATTACAGGTGCAGGAGCCACTTCTAATTTCTTCACTCTAATATGCAAATCTATAGTAGTTATTTTTTTATTATAATTACTACTCGGTAATGAATTATTTTCCAATCTAAAATAGTTATTACTATTAATCATGATGTTTTTGCATGATACAGATTACAAAAACCTTTCAAATGATCTTAAAATCATTTTAAACAGCTTAACATTTATGAATGAAGTGTGTACATAGGACATGAATGTGTTTATAGGCAGTGATTCCTGTTATGTGAAACAATGGTGTTGGTATTTCCTTCATGTAAATTCTTTTTTTTAATGATTTTTCTAAAATTTTATTTATGTACGTTGGTGTTTTGCCTGAATGTATGTCTGTATGAGGGTGTAGGATTCCCTGGAGGTAGAGTTACAGGCAGTTGTGAGCTGCCATATAGGTGCTGGGAATTGAACCCAGGTTCTCGGGAAGAAGAACCAGTGTTCTTATCCACCGAGTCAGCTCTCTAACAGAAGATAGTAATTGCAAGATAGTAAATATTTTGCTTTGTTGTTAAATTAGAGTAGGAACTGGGGGTGTGTAGCTCAGTTGGTAAAGTGCTTATCTAAAGACCTGGGTTCCACATTTAAAAAAAAGAAAAAAGTAAAAACAGGCATGGTGGCACATATCTATAATCCCAGTACTAGAGAAGAGAGCAGAGGATCAGAAGTTCAGGGTCATCCCTGGCTACATACAGGGTACACAAGACCCAGTATACCAAAAAAACAAACAAACAAACAAGCAAACAAAAAAACCAGTAAGTCAAGAAGTTTTTTTGGAAAGGTGTCTTGGTGTTTGAGGTTTTTTTACTTTTGGGTTTCTTGGGGGGGGGGGTAAAGACAGGGTTTCTCTGTGTAGCCCTGGCCATCCTGGAACTCAATTTTAGACCAGACTGGCCTCGAACATTCCTCTACCTCCTGAATACTGGAATCAAAGGTGTGCACCACCACTGCCTGGCAAGAAGGGTTGTTTTGTTTTGTTAGTTTGTTTTCCTGCATTAAAACTGTAGGGTTTTTTGCTAAGTGGAAAGTAACTTAACTATGTCAGTTTGTTTGCTTTACAAAAGTAAAGTATATAACTAAGTATATTCTTGACTTACAATAACCCAAACTTTACAACAGTTGGAAAAAAAAACATTTTAAGTCCTGCAGGTTTTGCCAGGCTTAGTAGTGATGTCTTTAATCCCAGTGTAGGCAGATCTGATCTACAGAGAGAGTTCTAGAACAGCCAGGGCTACAGAGAAACCCTGCCTCCCAAAACCAAAAGGACTGGCAGGGTTTTTGTTTAGTTTTGTTGTGTGCCTAGGCTACACCACAGTCTGTTGCCTTAGTCTTGTGTGTGCTGGAGCCATTGTGTACACTGCAGTTACTGCCTCAAGACCATCTGTTTTATTGCTAAGCTATAAGAAGGCAAGTAATAATTGTAACCACTACACATTTAATTTCTCCTGTTCTTTTCAGACTGTGGTGGGTTGGTACAAATTCCGCCGTCACTCAGATCAGATCATGACATTTAGAGAGCAGTTGCTGCACAGAAACTTACAGACTCAGCTTTCAAGCCCAGAACTTGTTTTTCTGCTGTTAACACCAAGTATAACAACAGAAAGCTGCTCCACTCACTGCCTGGAACATGCCCTGTATAAACCTCAAAAGGGGTAAGCACTGGTTGGTATTGGCTATTTTAAGCTAATAGAAAAATACTCATGGTGTTTTGATAGTGCCTTGTGGCTCTGTCTTCATACAGTGTTGCATAAGGTATCACAATCACAGCAAAGTCAGTCTTACTGACTTTTAGTAATAGATAAGAAGACAAGGGCCATGCAAGGAAAGGGAAGCCCAGGGTGCAGTGATGACTTGGACTCTGTTCTGGAGCTGAAAGTGTTACTGTCCTACTTATTATTTAAGTGTGGACTAGTACAAATTCTTCAGAGACAGTGCTTCTTGATGGCCTGCCACAGTGAGTCCAGACAGTCTCCTTGATTATCGCTTATCTCAAACACTGAGGACTAGACAGAACCAAACACTTCATTCAGATTTTGGATTATTTGCATACATCCAGTGATATCTTGTGAGTGGGGCAGATTCAAGTCTAAATAAAAAGCTCATTTATACCCATAATTATAACCAAATTAATTTTTTTGGTTTTTTGAGACCAAATTAATTTTTAACAATATTGCAAATGCTTTATTTGTTTATTTACCTACCTATTTATTTATTTATTGGCAGTGTGTAGCCTGAGCTGACCATGAACTTGAAATCTTGCTGCCCAAGTCTTCCTAGTGCTAGGATTACAGATAATAGGTTATCATATTGTAACATGTGTTGTACTGATCTGTCACATGAAAGTCAGACAGGAAATTGTCTTTTTTTTTTTTTTTTTTTTTTTTTTTTTTTTTTTTTTTTTGCTGTTTTTCCTTGAGACTCCATTGTATAAACAAGCTTAGTAAAAAATGGATAGATGAGCCTGTCTGGCTTTGAAACCACAATCTTCCTGCCTTAGCATTTCCAAACATGTGTGAAGGAAGGTGCTTAGAAGTGTTCACCTTTTAAGCTGTCTGTGGTGGTGTACACGTATAGTCCCAGTAAGTGGAAGCAGGAGGAATATAGTTTGAGGTCAGTTTAGGTAACATAATAAGATCTATCTCAGATTTTAAACTTTTGTACTAGGGTGTTCTGCCTTTTTGGTGACCCAAGGATACAGAACACAGGATTTATATCCTGGCGGGCAGGATTTACACCGCTGATCTTCACCTCCAACAAAATTTCTTTTCCTTCTTTTTTCCACTTTCTTTAAGGGTCTCAGGTAGGCATGATGGTACAGTGAGAGCAGGATTAGGAGTTCAAGATTATGCTCGGCTACATAGAGCTTGAAGGGAGGGTGGACTACCTGACACCATGAATCTAAATAAACAAATAAATAACCAGTGAAATGGCCCATCTGGTAAAAATGGCTTGTCCCACAAGTCTGAAGACCTGAGTTCTATCCCTAGAACCTTCATTAGAAGAAAAGAACCAAGCTGGGCTGGGCAGTGGTGACACACATCTTTAATCCCAGCACTCAGGAGACAGAGGCAGGCAGATCTCTGTGAGTTTGAGACCAGCCCGGTCTACAAGAGCTGGTTCCAGAACAGCCTCTAAGGCCACAGAGAAACCCTGCCTCGAAAAACAAACAAACAAACAAAAACTTCTGACACTGTCCTCTGAACACGTAAATATTATAAACATACACGCAATAATAATAAATGAACAGTAACAAAAAACTCAGGTGTCACCTATATTGCCTGTCATGGCTTCAACTCACCATTCTCCTCAGCCTTCTGAGGCAGCTTCACTTTATTTACATGTGTATGGCCAGGAGAAATAGCCATTAAAGTACCTTCATACAACTTTTTATGCTATGTATCTCTTGATTTTTTGTTGTGTTTTCTGAGACAGGGTTTCTCTATACATCCCTGGTTTTCCTAGAACTCTCTGTGTAAACTACATCAGCCTCCAACTATGCCTGCCTCTTGCTTCTGAGTGACATCTTTTAAAAGCTAGCTGCTTCAGGAGCCTAGAGATGGCTCAGCATTTAAGAGCACCAGCTGCTCTTCAGAGAACTCCAGTTCAATTCCTAGCACCCACATGACAGCTCATAACCATCTGTAACTCCAGTTCCACAGAGATGTTCACTTTTCTGGCCTCCAAGGGCACTAGTTGTACATGGTTATACTTGCAGGCAAAATACCCATACACATAAAATAATAATTTTTAAAAACTAGTTGTTTCAACTTAGCTCATCTGGGAAAATTCTTGCTAAATAATAATGGGGGGTTGTTTTATTTTAATGCTATTAGGAAAGCAGCCTGCTCTGGTGTTCTTTTAAGCTCTGTTTTAAAATTTTTTTATCAGGCTTTTTCACAGGGTGCCTTTGGTGGTTGCCAATCTGGGAATGTCTGATCAACTGGGCTATAAAACAGAGTCTGCCTCCTGTACATCCACTGGCTTCAGCAAAGCCGTGAGAACACACAGGTATGATTCTTACTCAGACAATAAAGGCTAAGTGAATACTTGTAGAACTGGAGTATTTTCATCTTTGCGTATTTCCTTTTAGACTTGTCAAAGTTCTATACACTAATCCAAAGAAGTCACCTTTTTTTTTTTTTAAACAGTTCTCAATTTTTTAATGAAGATGGATCATTAAAGGAGGTGCATAAGATAAATGAAATGTACGCTGCTATACAAGAAGAATTAAGGGTAAGTAGTTAGGGACTGCTTCGTATTCATATCTATAAGTTGCTATGAATTACTTCATAGAAAAATTAACATTTGTTTGAATATATGTTGTATTCCTTTGTATTACCACCTCTGGGGAAGAGTTATACAAATTTAATGTTGCTCTCATTATATCATGGCTATACTTATTTATTTTCTCTCTCTTATTTGAAAAATGATCTCACTGTGGAGTCCTGACTGTCCTGGAACTTGCTATGTAGTAGGCCAAACTGTCCTTGAATTTATAGAGATTCTCCTGTCTCTGCCTCGCAAATTCGAGATTAAAGGCATGTACCACCAGGCCCAGTCCTCATAGTCTTTTTGAAGATGAAGAGGGAAGCAGATATTTAGAAACAAACCATCACTACAACATTATAGTCTGCCTTACTGTTTTAGTCACTGTAGAGTCATGAGATGGATCCCAAGTGCAGGAGAGTTATTGGGCCAGTGTAAAATAAATTACAGGGGATTGAGAGTTACAACAGAATCTGACCTCAGAGAGACAGAGAGAACCGCTGGTCAGGAAGAGCCTTGGGTTGTACCGTTCTACGAAAGCTTACCTGAGCATAACACGACTCAGAATCCTGCTCTCATCTTAGCAACACCGTGAAATAGGGTTTCTCTGTAGCATTGGAGCCTGTCCTGGAATTCACTCTGTAGAAAAAAGCTGGCTTCGAACTCATAGAGATCCACCTGCTTCTGCCTTGTGAGTGCTGGGACTAAAGGCGTGCACCACCACTACCTGGCTCTGAAACCCTTTCTTAAAGGAAGAAAAAAGTTAAATCCTTAATTGAACAAAGTGACCCAAAGTTGTTCCATAGGCATGTTCTAATGTCCTCCCCATGTTCAGTCATTGCTAGGAATAGTCCTTAGGGAATGTTGCTTAAAAGCAAGCACTGTGGAGCTCAGGATGTAGCTCAGTTGGTAGAACCCCAGCACTACATGATGGCGTACATCTGTAATTGCAGCACTAGGGAGGTAAAGGCAGGAAGATCAGAAGTTCAAGGTCATCCTTGGCTGTATACTAAGTCTGAGGCCAACCTGGGATACATGCGGCTTTCTCTGATAAATTGCAAAATCATGAGTCCAAAACTGGAACTATTGGTCAGTTGTTTTCTTCAATTGGATATCTAAAGTCTGTTTTCATGGCAGCCATTCTTGTCAGTGGAGCATAGTAAGGGAGGGTGAAGGCTAACACACTTTGTATACTACTGATATTATGTACTATTTTATTTATTTGTTTGTTTTTCAAGACAGGCTTTCTCTGTATTTGGAGGTTGTCATGGAACTGACTCTGTAGACCAGGTTGGCCTCAAACTCACAGAGATCTGCCTGCCTCTCCCTTCAGAGTGCTAGGATTAAAGGCATGAGCCACCAATGCCCAGCACATTATGTATTATTTTTTAAAGATTTATTTATTTTGATGTATGTAACAATAAGTCTTTACTTCATAGCCACCCGAGCCCTGCCACCACGTGGGCGCTTTCCACCAGGCCACCTGAGTTCCACCCACCACCATATTAAGGTCCCAAGTAACATACAGAGACTTATTATTAGGTACAAATGCTGACTAGGATTTCCTCCTTGCTAGCTCAGTCTTAAGTATCAACCATAAAGACTTATCTTATCGGACGCTAGCTGCTGCAGTCTTCTCTTGCTGGGATCACATGGCAGCTCCAGAGCAGAGAGCAGGAGGAAGAGAAAAAGGAAAGACTTCCTTCTTGCTCTTGCTTATATATGAGTCTGCCTACTATGTCACTTCCTGCCTATATCACAAGACTTCCTTTTACTACATTTCCCAGAATTATCCTTGACCCCCTAGTCCCACCTAATTTGCTTCTTCATTGGCCAACAGTACTTTATTCAACAACCAATGAGATAAACATATACACAGAAGGACATACCCCATCAGATGTGATTCACTTTTTTGTGTGTCTAATGCCCTCAGAAGTCCAAAGAAGGCATTTGTTCCTCTGCATCTAGAGTTACAACAGTTTATGAGCTGCCATGTGGGTGCTGGAAATCTAACTCAAGTCCCCTTAAAAGCTGAGCCATCTCTCTAAACCCCGTATACTAATTTATGCAATGAATAAACAACATACAAACTTTGAAAATAACACTGGGACTGTCACCATTTCCCCCCTTTTATTGAAAATAAATTTTTCCCTCATAAAATACATCTGATTACAGTTTCCCTCACTTTACTCTTCCTATTACCTCCCCTTCCATCCATCTACTCCCTTTTAGTCTCAGAAAACAAACAGGCAAGCCTTGGTGTCTCACACCTTCAGTCCCAGCATTTGGGAGGCAGATGCAGGCATATCTTGAGTTCAAGGCCAGCCCTGAAGTTCTAGGTCAACTGGGACTACACCAAAAAAAAAAAAAAAAAAAAAAAAAAAAAAAAAAAAAATCTAAAGGATAATAATGAAAGGCTTCTAAAGGATAATAATGAAATATAATAAAGCAAAAAATAATACACCAGAGTTGAACAAAGCAGAAGAAAAAGTGCCCAAGAGAAGGCACAAGAAAAAAAAGAGACGCAGTACACTCATTCTCACTCGGGGATCCCATAAAAACACTAAACTGGAAGCCATAATACATATGGACAGGACCTGGGGGGGGGCGGGGGCCACTGTGCATGCTGCCTCAGTCTGAGTTTATTTGAGCTTTGACCCTGCTAATATATGCCTTGGTTCTTGGCATCCTCCATCCCCTCTGACTGATAGTCTTTCACTGCCTCTCCATAGAGCTCCCTGACCCCTATCGAGGGATTTGATAGACATAGGGGCTGAGTGTTCCAAGGTTTCTCACTCTGCATAATGTCTGACTGTGGGTCTCTTATTTGTTCCCTTCTGCTGCAGGAGGAAAGCTAAGTAGCTTTGTTTGTAGACAGCATCTCACTATGTAGTCATGGCTAGCTTGGAACTATGTGGACGAGGCTAGACTAGAAGTCACTGAGGTTTGCCTGCCTCTGCCTCTCAAGTGCTGGGATTAAGGGCATTTGCTATCATACCCAGTGGAGAGTGTCACCATTTTCAAGTGATTATTTTTATTTTGCCATTTTTTCCCAACACATAAATACTTTGACATACTTAAGAGTGAATTTGTATTGTGATTTAAAAAATAAAAAGATTTATCATTAAACATTTTCACTTTGCCACATAATCTTTTACTTTTAATGCAGTATGTTTTAAACCTTAAATTGACAGGTAAAACTCATGTAAAGCCACGTGTAAATGCACACCTGCCACTCTAGCACTGTGGAGGTGGAGGCAAGGGGATCAGGAATTCAGTGTCATCCTCAGAAACACAGTTAAGTTTGAGGCTAGCCTGGGCTACATGAGACCCTCTCTATAAATAAAGAGAGGGAAAACCTTTAGTAAAATGTGTGTTGGGGAAGGGTTATACCTAGGAAGATAACAAATGCCTGGGTCAGCATTTTTGTGGTTAGAACACTCATTCACTCTACATTTTCCAAGTAAATCATTTTTAGCTTTTCTCAGCGCCATATTTCTTTACTCGCTTGTCTTTCAGTGGACATTTGTAATTATTCTATATCTTGATTATTTAAATAGTTCTGGGCGGATACATAAAAGGTGTTCACTAATGGGTTGTACTAACATTCTGACCTATATTTTGAAATTAATGATGTTTGATTTAACAGTAAGAAACATTATTACCATATATAAACTTTTGTTAGGTATATTTCCAAAATAAAATTATTCATTCTTTTCAAATTGAGACACATAGCATCAGTTTGCTTTTCAAGTGTAGCTTCTCTTACAGGAATTATATATAGTATTCCATGATTTTCTTAAAACATAGTCACTTTTTTTTTTCTTTTTTTTTTTTTGAGATTTTATTATGTATACAGCCTTCAGCCTACATTCCAGCAGAGGGCACGAGATCTCATTCAAGTTGGTTGTGAGCCAACAGAGATTTTATTATGTATACAGTCTTCAGCCTGCATTCCAGCAGAGGGCACGAGATCTCATTCAAGTTGGTTGTGAGCCAACATGTGGTTGCTGGGAATTGAACTCAGGAGCTCTAGAAGAACAGTCAGTGCTCTTAATCACTGAAACATCTCTCCAGTCCCCATAGTCACTTTTTATTTATTTTAGCATGGGTTTTTGTTGGTGTTTGTTCTGTTTGGTATTAATGACACAGGCTCTTTTATAGCCCAGGTTGGCCTTGAATTCCCTATAGATAAGGATAACCTTTAATTGTTAATTCTACTTCCAATAAATGCTAGAATCACTTCCAATAAATGCTACAAATCAGTATTACACAATCTACAGAGCAACATCAAGTCTTGTTATTAAGATAGTTTACAGAAAAGGTTAATGGTATTTTACAGTCTGAGGATTTTATGTTCTGAGTCCTCATGACTATAAAACCTGGAATGTTTTTATCTGTGTCCTTATTTTATTGTGCAGAGTCTATGCCAAAAAGTTGAACAAAGTGAACGAGAAGTAGAGAAACTAATGATGGATATAAATCAATTAAAAGAAGTTAGAAAAGAACAGCATGCGAAGATTAAAGCAGCAGGTAAGCATCGAATGAACACTGTGGGTGCTGGCTTCATGTTTGCATGAGGCTCAGTGATGGACGAGTCAGCAGTCCTGACCATGAACTGGTGCACTGGGATTACAAGTGGTGATTACACTGTGCCCCTAAATCCTCCCTGGGGGTGAACAGGGCACTGTAGTGGGTGTGCTGGGTTGAATAAAAAAGCACAAGACTCATTTTCTCACAGAATACTGTGGCACATAAACAGGAATTAAGTATTATGTCATTCTTATCCTGAATAATCCATCTTTTGGAATCATCTTTACTTTATCGACACAGCTAATTATAAAAGATTGTGAAACAAACACATGTTAAATCCTTATTTTCTTTAGGAGAGAAGACTGTCCAAAACAACCCCCAGGAGAATATCCTTCTTTGTCAAGCTTTAAGAACCTTTTTTCCAGAGTCCGAAGTCCTTCATTCTTGTGTTATTTCTTTGAAAAACAGACATATTTCTCAAAGTGGGTGTAACACGAACCATCATCTTGATGTGGCTAAGCTGACCTTAATGGTGGAGTATGTTCACAGCCCTGATGCTAGTCCAACCTCTGAAGCCCAGCTGACTAAGCGTAAGGCTCTAGACACGCAAGAGCAGTGGCCTATGAAGAAACCACGATTGTTGGAGACAGAAAGCAGACCTCTGACAGATTTCC